ATGAGATAGGGGTGAAACTAGCTTAGGCCAAGTCACAAAACTAGAATTTAATATCACAAAATAATCAATTATTCAAGCATAACATACATGAAAGATTTTCAACGAGAAATTCCTAAATTAACAATGATATTAGTCACTAGTTGGGTCCACTCACTCACACTCGAAATAATTTGGCTTACGGAGAAAGCTTTCACAATCTATATAATGTCACAATCAAGGGAGAGTAAGTAGGTAAAAGGGAAAGGGGAAGAGTTTACCCAAACGGCGACGTTATGTGGTTGCTTCTGAAGGAGGACAACAATAGGAAGCCTTCTCACAAGTCTGGACAGCAAAGTAGTGTATTCTAGATGGCGGGACAGCAAGTGAAGGTATGTTGGACGTCTGGACAACCAATACAAATGTTCTTGACAGCAGGATATCAAGCTACTGTGTGTTGTAATTTCTGGAAAGCATATTGACAAGTTCTTGAATGCAATAAAGCAATCTTGTGATGTTGAAATCCTGTAGTAGTTGATGCTGGGAAGGATGAAATTAGGGTTTGGTCGATTAGTTTAAGTGGGAGTGGATGGGGTAGTGGCCGGCCACAGCGAGGAGGATAAGGGGAATTTTAATTCCAGGAAATTTTTTAATTTGAATAGGGAGGGAAATAAATTCAAAAGTCTGAAATTAATTTCAGTGTTAAAGGGAGGAAATAATTGGGAATTGATAGATTGATTTGAGGAGCATTAATGGGCCTAATAAATAAATGAGAGAGAGAGAATGAGAGAGGGGCGGCCAAGGGGTGAAGGGGAGGGACCACAAGCTTTAAAGAAGATTGTACGGAATTAAGGGGATTAAATAAGTTTCCAATCTAAGCCAAATTAAATTCGGAAAGATAATTTAATACAAATTAACCTTCTAACTTAAGTCCAAATTTAAATGGCTTTGATTTATGTGTTGCGATACAAAGTTTGGTGGCTGATTTTGGTCCAAATTTTACGTTATTCTCGCTGTTTTCGCCAATTAGTGATAGGTTTGCTTGCGAACTCAAGTATTTCCCTTAGGGTTACTTGCGAACTCAAGTATTTTCTATCAAATTGGTATCAGAGCATCAGCTTGGAACCATTGGCGGCTGAAATTCTGAAATTTCAACGGTTTTTTCGCATCCAGAAGCTCTCTTGAGATCCTTGGGAAGAAAGATGACCGGAAAGAAAGTCGAAGTGTTGGAATGTGAAATTGGACAATTAAAATCCAATTTTGAGGAAAAATTCTTTGATTTTCAAAATCAAATCTTCTCCAACAACGAAAGGTTGGAAGGGAAGTTCACTTGATGGAAGAGATGTTGAAGAAATTACTAGAGGTGAAGACCAATCCGACGACATCGGAAGCAAGGGAGACCACCGGCGGCCATGGTATAGGGGGGAATCTGAACCCGTTTAGGAGGAGGAAAAATTCAAAAGTGGAGATCCTTAAGGGAGAGGACGGCATGCCACCTCTAGAACCACTTTCTAGAGAGGAGATGAATATGGGCTACGAAAAGAGGAGGGCTGGTTTTGTGGGAAAGGGGGATTTTCACCACTGAGGTGCCGAATTTAAAAGAAGGAGAGGGGAAGTTGATGATGAATACGATTATGATCGCCGGAGGGAAGATCGTGACAGATGGGGAGCGCCTCCCATTCATGGCATCGGAGGATTTGGAGGATCCAGGAGCAATTGGGGTGACCCGAAGGTGAGAAAGCTGAAGATGCCCATCTTCGAGGGCGAGGATAGGCATGGTTGGATCTACAAGGTGGAACAATATTTTTCTGTCAACGGGCTGACAGAGGAAGAGAAGTTGACAGTGACAGGACTATGCTTGGAGGGTAAGGCACTGGCTTAGTACCAATGACGGGACATGAGGCAACCCATTAAGAGCTGGAGAGAGTTCAAGGAGTGCTTATTGGAACATTTCCTAACCTATAGAGGATGAGACTTCTATGAGCAATTCTTTGCCCTGACCCAAGAGGGGACCGTGACAGGTTCAAGTACTTGGCCAGCAGATTGGATCGGCTCTCAGAGATGGTGCTGGAGGGGAACTTTATGAAAGGACTTAAACAGGATATCCGAGTAGCGGTTAAACTGATGAGGCCAAGAGATCTGGGGGAGGCCATGGAGTTAACCTAGTTGGTGGAGGATCAAAAGCAGTTTGAGAGAGGACCTAGGGGGATCAAGGGGGGGGGGGGGGGGGTCATATAGGACGACAACTACAGTCTTGGCTCCCAAGGGAGCGACACCAGGGAGTCTAAAGGAGGTGCCTAGAGAGAGAACTAGAGGAGGGGGAAATGAGGGAAGTTTCAAAAGGCTGACGGAGAAGAAAATACAAGAAAAAAGAGCAAAGGGGTTGTGTTTTAAATGTGACGAGAGGTATATGCCGGGGCATAGGTGTAAGGACCGAACTCTTCAGGTTCTCACTGTCTGTGATAACGAGGAAGTTGAAGAGGGAGGTGGAAGCGGGTTAGAGACGGAAGAAGAGGAGAAGTTGCATTTGGATGTGGCAGAAGTCTCCCTAAACGCAGTAGTGGGATTCACACCGAATCACACTATGAAGGTGAAGGGAGAGATAGCTGATAGGGACGTAGTAGTGTTGATAGATAGTGGGGCAACCCACAATTTCATCTTCACACAGATTGTTGATCTTAGGGGTGAAACTAGTGGATACAGGAAGGTACGTGGAGATGATGGGCACCGTAAATGTAGAAATGGGTAGAGGAGTTTGTAGGGGAGTGGTGTTGACCATTCAGGAGATACAGGTGAGAGAGGATTTTCTTCCCTTGGAATTGGGGAGTATGGATGTCATGTTGGGGATGAAATGGCTGCAAACCTTGGGGGAGACCAAGGTAAATTGGGGAATACAATTTTTCATGTTGAATCGGCCCAAGGGCCGACTCGGGTATACAGGAGGTGGACTAATGTCGCCTCCTTTGCTCTTGCCGCCCACATGGGTGAGCCCCACTAGCCAAATTGAATTCAAATTTTGAATTGGGGGGGGGGGAGGGCGGGGATGACGTATCGCTTTGTGTTTTTGGTTGAGAAGTTCAGTTTTTGGTTGGATGTTGTATCGCTTCGTGTTTGTTTGGCTTTGATTTCCGTGTTGCAATACAAAGTTGGTGGCAGATTTTGGTCCAGATTTTACGTTATTCTCACTATTTTCGCCAATTAGTGATAGATTTGCTTGCGAACTCAAGTATTTCCCTTAGGGTTACTTGTAAACTCAAGTATTTCCTATCAGTATATTGATGGACATGTTTTCTATTACATCATTCCCTGAGTGTCTCTACATGATAAGTGTATAGGACCCTTGGATTCATTACTTATCATCTAAATTTGCCTCCTGATATGTTTCACTTCTCAATTCTCATAGCATTTTATACTTTACCTCTTAACAAATTCATTAAGTAGTGGGACTAAAAACATAATTCACTTGCAAGACATATAGGTCTCCTTTAATATTTACAAATTTTCAAAGGTTTACCTCCAGCTAAGGACATTTAATAACACTGGCAGACATCAAATAGGCACCATTGCTACCTTACCTAGCTTCTAACTCTTTAGGGAAGAATTATTGGGGACTTAGGGAGCTGATGCAGCATAGTTCATGAATTTTTTTATATTATTTTGTATTTTATTTTGCATTATTGCATTCTTATTTTATTAATGAAAGAAATTATATAATAGTTTATTATGTAACCATGCAAAATGTAGCCAAGTAAACTAGCTAATTTTAGTCCACCCAAGCAAGTCAGAATAAAAATTCCACATCACCATGCAAGTAAATGGTCAATGAACAACCCTCCTTCACTAAGCTTCTCCTTCGATGTTTTGATGCATGCACGAATTGTGTTTTGAATTTTCAAACATACATGCATACACTGTAAAACTTCGACAACAATATACATCCACTTGGTCAACCCTTCTTAATATTATGTATTTTGATTTCTTATGCATCAAATGTATCCAAATGATATGCATATGCATAGGAATGACATATACAATCAAATTATTATAAATTGAAAACAACTTGAAGAGTTATCTACTTTTAGAAATAGTTTGATGGCTTTTTCCACGATGTTGGCTTGTTGGCTCTCCTCTTCCCATTCCTTTGGAGAGGTTGGAATTATCTACTTGTATATTCTTATTTTGGCACTTTTATTTGGTGCTTTCCCATCATTTACATCCCCTCTTATGTTATGTAGCCTTTTCTCTCAATCCCTTAACTCCCATGCAAAAGATTTTTATTTCTTTGTAAGCTTCCCCAAAATAGTTCAAAATTTGAGCACATGCATTCCCACAACAACTACACACCTCAAGGCCCGTTAGCACCCCAAAACATTATTGCCACCATCTCTTCACATCCTAATAGTAATACCTTCATACCTTCATAAGCCCAATGAATTATCCACCCAAGCTCCACAATCTCAACAATAATTCAAACTAGCCTAAACCCAACTAAAGCCCTTGACCATCTCAAAAGAATACAACTTCATAATCTTTCATTCACTCCAAACCATCTCCAACAGCTGCATAACTTACATATTCTATAAAAAAAAATATCCATCTTATCCTTCCAATTAAAAACTCACAATTTTCGTTAATCAGCATCTATAAAAATGATCTTATGTTAAGAAATGTATAGGTAGACCTAAAACAACTTGGTTAGAAAATATTAGAAATGATATTTCTTTATTAGATTTAAATGAGAATTTGACTTTTAACATGACGCAATGGAGAAAAAGGATTCATGTAGCCGACCCCATGTAGTGGGACAAAGGCTTGATGTTGTTGTTGTTGTGGTGGCATCTATATGTGAATTGGATTGACATTCTGAAACCAAATTTTCAAAATTATGAGAATAAAAATGCTAGGTGAATGTTGTAGAAAGTATTGAACAGTATTCAAATCAATGGGGAAGAACATGCAGGTTGGAAAAGATAAGAATAAAAAAATGAAGTAATAGTAACTGCACAAACACTTAAAGAACATACAAGTGTGTCAATCTGAGTGATAATATTAGCATAGTGTAGCGCTAGACCAGCTGAACCCAATCTCCGATTACTAGCAATAGATCCTTTCACTGGTTTGTCCCCATCTGTAGTTTCATGGAATCCAATGAAAAATAATCAGTATAGAGAAAAACAAAAGCTAGTCAATCAAAGCTAATAGCTTAGTTCAAAAGGGCTTCAGAAGTTGCTTCATAAATTCAATTACTAACTAAATACTTGATAACCAATTCAATGCATATATTAAGCCACAAAGTAAAACAAGCTCCACACTAAAAATGATAATTAGCAATATCACACCAGTACTTTGAAAGCGGTAATATAAGGTACCATAGCAAATTAATATATGTAGAACGTTCATCTAAATGTTGATGTGCTGGAATGTTGAAGCAAGTTGTGTGTACAGTAATATCCCATTAATATACTGAACGGAACACTGAAAAAATCATTCCAGAGAAACTCCTTTCTCCGCAAGCCTTACAATCAGACTTCATCACTAAGCCAACAAGAATTATGAGCTTTCAGTTGCTACGACATGAAGAATGACGCCGTTGCAGCACATCCAAGGCTAACAGTTAAGCAATGAGTACAAAATAAAATGTGCTGAAACACAATGTCAAAGAAACATAATAACTGATAAACTAATAAACAAGCACGTGTGCCTTAAACATGCATGTATGCATTTCTTAAAGTTATAAAAACTTTCTTTAATTCTTTTTGAATATGTGTAGGATATGCTGCCAACTAGTACAATGGCCAGTACGCATAGCATTCATCATAATGGCACAATCAACCTTGAAACTACCGTTTAAGCAATCAAACTAAAACATGATCATCAAATAATCTTAAAATGATAGACTAAAAATAAAAACCTTCCAGTGAGGCCAAAACTCTTGGAAATAGGTACATATTACTTGCATGCTAACTCCACGGCATGGAATCAAATTAACTTGGAAAACTTAAAAACAGATGCAAAATGAGTACCAGCACTACCAAAGGCATTATGGATCTCCAGATTCAAGAAGTCAACAACATCTACAAGTTTCTCGATGACCTATAACAGATATACATCAGTCTTGTGCAATAAATAAGTGATGCACCCAATAACCATCAATGAAAAAAAAAAAAAAAAGGGATGGAATAAAAAGAGAACATCAAGCTAATAAGTTAATTAGTGATCTCATTCATGGGTGACGCATAATCAAACTTCTTAGCATGAAGGCGCAATATGCAGCACCACTAACTACGTACCTCTTCCAAAATTCTAGACCAAAGAGACTTTTTCATTAAGCTCTTGACATGTTTCTTTTGGCTCTTTAGCTCTTGCCTTAATATTTGTAGGCTGTCTCCTGCACGTCAATTAAACGGCATTGAGAAAGAAAAAAAAAAGCTAGAAGAAAACAATGCTAAAAATGGTTAATTCCAAAACAGTATTTTCATACAGTGGTTACCATCTCCATTTCAATAATTCAGTACTTGGCCTACCTGTAACAACCCCATAAATCTAACCGTAAGTATAAGACTGGCTTTTATTTTAAGAAAGACCATGCCGACTCCACACAAGGAATTTTAAAACCATTATAACCAAAATGAGCAGAGAATACTGGTTTTACTGTTTTCCCATAACTGAGTGATTATGATATCAACCGCCACATCACTCTGCTTAATTTTCATACTTCCGTACCTCCCCTGCACAGAAATCTACATCCACCAAGCACTTGTAACCATTTATTTATTGCAGTCTACTGCTTTGAAACACGACTTTACTGCTAGACGCTTAAAAAAATTATTAAGTCACTAAAAAATGCAATTATTCATGAACTTATTCATCATTTTTTAAGATACTAAATTGCTTCAAGAATATTTAATTTCAGTAGCAAAAACAAGCATTCATGTGCTTAAAGATCTACATCATTTAAGTAAAATTAACCAAGGAAAACAAGCCATCCTGGCAAAAAAAATCCAGGAACAGCCAGAGTCTAGGTTTTCTAATGAGGCGTATGCTTAAGATGTCCAAAATCATGCAACAAGTTCACAAAATTTATAAGTCACAAGCTCTTGATGTTTAAAATTATTTGCTGCGTTGAATAAAAATTAAAATTGAAAACACAAAGAAAGTCAATTCAGATGCTTGAGCACTATTTTGAATAAGGACCTGAGTTTTCTGAATTTTCTAATGCTTGAGCCCTAATTTTCTTCTAACTTCTCTCTAGCGCTCCCATATAGTGTGGTGATATTTATATTGTGCTCGTCTGGTCGCTGTACATTTACCTCCCAAAACATAAAAAATATCCTGATGTTCAATTACAAAAGTAATTCACCTCTCTGAGCTGCGGTGAAATTCTCCTCTTCTTGAAGTTTCCTCTTGTAATCTTGTTCAAACCTGTCCAAAGAATGGAGCTCATGGTACAATTCCTGAAAAAAAAAACAAATTCATATAACATTAAGGCATAATGAACAAAAATAGTAGCAGAGCCAAAATGCAGTATAAAAATATCTATTAAGTATAAATAGGAATGTATTATAGATAGGACATTCAACAGTTTCCCTAAAATTGAATATTAAAACAGCATACAATATGACAATCAAGTGAAAAAATAAAAAAAATAAAAAAAAAAATAAAATAAAAAAGTGGAAGCAAAGATACGAAATTATAAAAAAAAAAAGGCCTAGCCACCATAAATTGAAGTGTTGTCGTCTAAACTAAACCACATAAGTCTTTTACGCAGGACAAGTATAATCTGGTTTTTCTAATTATTTGAGGATTAAATCTTGTAACATGACATGACATGACAGATTACCAACAGAAATTCCATTCATTGGAACCATTCCGGAAAGCTATGACATGAAATATCTAACGCAATTAAATATGAGAGGGGAGTGCTAGCATAATGAATATAACTACATATAGGAGACCATAAATATGCAACACTGTAAGCTCAAATTTCATAATTTGGGGGATACCAGAAGATAAAGACTTGTATGAAATATAAAATGTCTTCCGGTTAATGAAATATAAGATGTCTTCCGATTAATCTAATGTCACAGTAAAATATAGACCTAAGAGATTATGATCTCTATTGGAAAGAAAGTCAAAGAAATATCAAGTACTAAAGGTATACCACAATGGAAGATCACAAATAAAATGCAGAAAATACAGCAAAAAAATAAACATCAAAAGAAATTAAAAAAAAACTACTTCCGAAAAGCTGAACTCAAACATCTGAACTAGGAGTCCAAGCATCATCCATTATCAATCCGGTTTGAATGTAAAGATAGATCCTTCAATGCTAGTTACTGTCTAAGATTGTAAATGTTCATTGAGACCAACATCAACACAGAAACACAACCTACACTGCCGAATATAGAGATAACCAAATAAATATAATAGTAATCTTACGACTCTTACAGCTGTGCACTGAGCCATTGTCATTAAATGCTTCATAACTACATCCACATCTTGCTTCAACTGAGGTTGAAATGTTCTTTCTGAACCAAGCCTAACATTAGTAACAAAACGAACAGGAAATATAGAATTAGATAAATTTGCCAAATGCTTGACGTTATGCTGTGAAAACTATAAAAGATCAATTTTACTTCTCAAAGTAGCGATCCAGATTGTGCCACTGAGGATCTTTACAACGATTTCCAAAGCGAACAACCTCCCCTGAAAACACTTTTAGTTCTTCCCTGTTCAGCACAACAATTCCATATGAATAGATGCACGAGAAGCAAGCCATAAACATATCCTAAGAATTTTTTTTTTAAAATGGAGAAATTAATAATAAAAATAACATCTTGAAACACCTATTTTCAAGTCCAAAGCTCACAAGCAAACGAAGTTAAGATATGACATGAAAAAAATTCTCGCCAAACCTCTTGTCAGAAGCCGCTGTCCGTAGTAGTTCATCCATATCTTTAGATACCAAAAGTTGCACACCTTCTGATGGAAGCAACACCTCCTTCAAATGTTTTATGTTTTCTTCCGAAAGAGATTGCAAAAGATTGGCACCTTTAACTATTGTGTTGGCAACCTCAAAGGATAAAATAAATATTTTTCCTCCTTTAGTTGTTGATCCTGGTACAAAGCTGCTACTAAGATTCAAACTTGTCATGCTACTACCAAAATTGTCCAAAACCTCCACTGCTTTCCCAAAACCAACAGTACCAGCCCTTCCTAAAATTGAGCTCACTTCTGCAACCTGTTAATAGGGAGCAACCTCGGCATAAAGGAACAATAGTGAATCATATTCATGGACTCATGTTTGACCGCAACATATCAGAATAAATGAATAATTGCAAAGTATGCTCAAAGAAATTCACACATCAGGGAAGGATTATACTAGGTAATTAATTGGTTGATTTTATAAAAGAAAGGAAAGAGGATTTTGCTGATGTTTTCATCATAGCGGATTTAAAAAGAGATCCTAAGTTGAATAAGAGTTTAACATGCCATCATGTTGCATCATATCAAGTCATTTTGTTTTGACACAAATTGGTAAAACTGTTGGATTGTACAGAATGCACTTACAAATCTTCTTATGACAAGGGTTTTAGAGTTATTGCATTAAACGTAATAGCATCCTAAATCCTATTCAAACATTTCAAACTGCTCCAACTCCCAAAATAAAGAAAAGAAAGAAATAATATAAGAATAAATTTTTTATTTGTTTATTGCATATCCTCAACCTCACTAAAGAGTGGTATTTATATAATACAAGGCTAACTTTACTCAGTAACCCCAAGTAACTAACTGCTTTTTACTAGTAAACAACCTTCTTAATATCCCAATTAGACTTACAACATCACTCCCCATCCCACAATACCCTTAAGGTTGAACTCCTCAAGCCAATCCTCCATCCATTCACCTACAATATCTTGAGCGGGATCCTTCTTCTGCATTAAATCAACAATAATGTCGCAAAAGAAAATGTTGAATGATGGGCACGGGAGTACTCGATGCTTAAAACTAATAATGTATGGAGGCTTGCACATGCCTAACATCAAGAATCATTTCAATCATTAGCACATCCAGAGTAGTGCACAAACTTCATAAGAGAGCCTATCCTTGAATTGGTACCGAGACTCGCAAAGTGTACTCAAAGATTTCCTTTTTATCATTTCCTTGAAAGATATTAGAATTAGTTCATCTAAAACATTTTCAGAAGGAGAAGTGGATATAGAAAATAAAGGAGATGTCAATGCTTTTAGAGATTCATTATTTCCAATTAATATCTCTCAATATAACAAATGTAGGGGGTAATTTATAATCCAAATTATTGAGTCTTACATAAGACTCCTCAATCAAACCAATGTCACCCTTCATTAAAATGCAAAGTGAATCAATTGATGAATCAACTACTGCTGAACAAAAAAAATTGAGAGCCATTATAGATTCTTGTGAACAATATTTTGTTGCCATAGTTGGAGGATTGCATGTTCTCAAAGCATGGCGCTCAAAAACACAAAAAGTCTGGCATTTTGAGGATGTTAACAGGTGTGATCAGGAAGCTTTAGTAAGTTGGAGATGATCAAAATGGTGGTCCTTGACAATAGATATTGACACGAGAGAGGATTTAGGCAATTTTCTTGGAGGAATGAAGACATGGTGAAGGGAAGGATAGGTTGGCAAAATAAGTTTCTTTAGGATAGTGGAAGGTCAATGACAGCTCAAGAACTGAATAACAAGTAGAGATGCCGACAAGATTTGAAATGGGGAAATTGGTGAATTGTACTTTAAAGATTGATGGCAATTTCTTGTAGGGAAGCTAAATGGTTGTTAGCCGTGATAGAAAAAGAAATATTTGGAGAAAATAAGTCATGGAGTTGTCTGTATGGTCTATAAGGTGGAATTTTGGGAAGGGCATTGGTGGAATCACAATGAGGAAAATCTACATTGTGTAGTTGATAATAGGTATAATCGAGAAAAGCACAAGCAGAGATCTGGTGGAATTAATAGAGAACTTGGAGTCACTATAGATGTATTGCTTCAACATCTGGAATAGTGCCAATAGGGGCATGAAGGACATAGGAATCCTTCAAGCAATTTGGCATGGACAAGAACACTAGAATGGTGAAGATCATGAATCTAACATCAGCGACAGGGCACAAAGACATCGAAAAAATTTCTTGACAAGAAGATGATATGTTGAATGATACAATGAAAGCACCCTTTGATAAGATCATAAATCCTATTTGAGCATTTCAAGTTGCTCAAACTCCTAAAAGTAAAAAAAATGATCTATTATAAGAAATAGAAATTTTTATTTATTTATTGAATATCCTTACCCTCCCTAACTAGGGAGGTTAATAGAACATAATGCTAACTCAACACACAAACCCCAACTAACTAACTTTTACCACCAAACACCCTCAATGTCCTGCTTAATTTCATAACAAAAGGAATGCTGATAAGTTTTTAGCATAAAAAGGTAATATATATCACATAATTTCTAATTCTTACCATTTCCTTTTTATGAGATTAACAATCACTAAAAAATGAGCCTAGTAAATAATAAGGTGTGGACAATGAAAAGATTCAGAAAATGATTTTAAATTGCATTTTTATAATTATTTATTTATTTATTAAATTATAAGCAACATCAAAATTTTATTAAAAAATTTTTAAATCCTCAATTATCCAAATTTCTCTTAAGAATTTTAATATGATGAGCAATTTTCTCTCTTTTAGAATTAATATATTATATATGAACCATTGAAATTGTTCTACAGGGCATATATGTCCAAAACATTTTATTTGATTAAATTACTCACATTATAAAGTTTTAGAATCATTTACCTTAAGCATAAGAAATTATACAAGTGTGTGTGTGTACACACACAATTGGTATTTTTTAAAAGCACGCAATTTGGATATACAGTGTAATTGAAATATATGTATTTTTTAAATGTTTGAGTTCTTTAGTTGGATGCAATATATATATATATATATAGAGAGAGAGAGAGAGAGAGATTCCTATGCCTTGTCGAAAAAAGAATAAATTATGCTAAAAATACATAAGTTTACGAAATTCTACAAATCCCATAGTTTCATTGCGGATAAATAGAGAAATTTTCCAAGATGACTTACTTTGATCGTTCCAGTCTTTGCAGAAGCTGCAGGCTTTGACTTTGTTAACATGAACTTTTGTGAATGGACCCTAGATATCTGGGGCGCCTGCAAATCAACAGCGTCATCTGGGTTTTGCTCAAACGTCGACATCAACCGATCTGAGAAAGATAGAGGAGGTTGAGGCAACCACTTGTCCTTATTTTCTCCAGCAGGAAGAGCAACAGATTCACTCTTAATCTTTACACGAGAATTATCTGAACTGGGGTCGTGATCTCCAAGGTAATCGACATTTAGGGTACTGTCACTAGGAGATTTATCTACAGCGGATCTCTTCGAGCAAAGGCCACCCATACTGCTGACCCTAGTTAAGTGATCCAATATGCCTTCCCCTTGTCTCCAAGAGAGTTTACCTATTAGTCAAACACCAAATTTCAACGCAAATTGTACAAAAAATGATTCTGAGCAAAAAACATCCATGTCCCTGCTAAGCCAAGGATAATCGGAGAAGTCCAATTAGCTTATACTCTATTGAAAGAGCTCCAATACAACAATACCCCTGCATTTTTTGAAAAAAATAAAAAAGATGAAAGCAGTGAGCGAGGCAGAAGGAAGAATGGACTGAACAGGAAAAACGATTAACTGACTCAAAACGGAGTTAATCGCGCCAAATAGACCAAAAGCGAATTATAAAAAAAAACATGAGCTCTAAGCCAAAGAATTCAAGAAAACAGAACTGTGGTATCAGTCAAACCTTCGAGTGGAGATCAGCTTCCGATGGCCGAAAAGGAGACCCTGGTGATGGATCGATCTATCAACCAAAAGCTCCGATGAAGAACAGAGAGAGGGAGAGAGAGAGAGAGAGTTATCCCTTCAACGCCAGAAGTAATGGAGCGCCGAGTTACCCTCCGGGAAAATAAAATTGACACGCAGAGAGCAAAGAAGTCTGAAAGTTGGTCAAAGGGCAGACTTGAGACCCGCGCTTATTGTGTTATGCGGGCATCTTGATTCGGACTTCGGAAGACTTGATAGCCTTAGCGTGTTACGCCAGCGATCTGGATTTGATTTTACCGGTAATTAGACGTAGTGCGGGGAAATTGGAGAAATGTGTTTTTTTTTTTTTTTTTTGAAAAAATGTCTTAAATTTTAATTTAGATTAAAATATTTTTATTATGTTTATAGCTCATAATATAAAAATTTCAATATCTTAAAATTTTTAATTTACCTTTTTTCACTTTTATTATTATCATTGTACTTTCGCTCGACATTTTTTTTGCTAAGGAGTTTCATATATTTTGTTCATCGATAATTCAGCATACACAAATGCTTTTTTTTAATTTATATCATGTCATATATTAGAACATTTTAATTAAGCTTAGCATCAAACTAAATAGCGTAACAAAGAATATGCTTCGAACCATTTTAAAATATGTATGCTAATTATGTTAAGATATTATGAATTCAAATATGTTTAAATATATGTTTTAGTAGATCCAAATTTATCTATAGAAGACAGCCAACCTTAATAGCAAGCAAGCTCAATAGACTAGAACTTGAGAGCTTATAATGAACGAGGAAAGAAAGAAGAAGAAAAATTGTGAGTATTTTTTATAAATGTTTTACTAACTCTATGATGCTTCAAAGATGTGCCAAAAGACAAAATGTGCATCTTCTCCTTTTTTATAGGAGTCTAAACGCCACAAGGAAGAGTACATAATAATAATAATAATAATAATAATAATAATAATAATAATAATAATAATAATAATAATAATAAATAAGACTTAATACAGACTGTCATGGAAATGTGTCTCAATTAAATAGAAGATTTGTATGATAGCTATTCTCTAGCTTAGCTCTCCGGCCTTAGGACTAGTTCCCTTGTGCCGAGTATTTGGGGGTGAGTCCTTAGGTGAGCTGGAATGACTACTATCGACGAGTTCGTTTGGCCGCACTGGTAATCTCTTGGATAAAGTTCTTGGGCATTTGAAAATGAAGGGTGAGTTTGTGTGAACTATGGGGGTAGTGAATTTCATGGTTGGGTGAGCACGAGGAAGTCTGTTACATCTTTCTTGGGGTGATCATTCCTCATCTCCTTCGCCTTGTTGGGGAATTCCATTTATCGCTTGCCGACAACGGTGATGACAAGTAGCTTTGAGAGTGTGTCTCCTACTGAAGGGGGCCATTCACAAAGTTTGGGGATTCCTGTCTGACCCCCTAGGATTCATCTTACAAACAATCTTCCTCGAGTTACTTTGTCGAGTTCGGCTAAATCCTTTAGTTTTTCATATAGTAAAGGTTGAGAGCAATCATTCCTGGATGAATCATTGTTGTTAGCATCTATCATGTATGGGTCCTTTTATTAGAACTTGTTAAGTATCTGGAGATCCCTGAGAATATATGTCCAAGTTTCATATTTCAATCATATTCGATTCATCTTGGTTGATCACTTTTTAGTATAGTTCAAGCAATGTTTGAACATAACTCAAACATTAATTGAGCATTGATTGAATCATGTTTGAACATGTTGCAACATGTTCAAACATGGGTACAAATATGTTCAAATATTATTTGATTCATATTCGAACAAAAGTAAATTTATTTATATTGACCAATTATTTTCTAAGATGAATAAAATAATAATATTTTTGTACTATATGAAGGGGAATAGAAAGAAGAAAAGTATTTATGTAAGACATTAGATAAAAATGCAACAAATAATTGATGGTATGAAGAAATATTTTCATTAAATATCTATGGATCTTATAAATAAAATGAAAGATGTCGATAATAACGAATGTTATCGCAAATTGGAGGTAATGTATTACTTTTATGGAGGATATTCCAAATTTTTAATTCCTCGAGCTAGTCTACTTACAAATTATAATATTTTTTTTACTTAAATGAGATATTACTATTTATTCAGCACCATTTTTTAATATGTGCATCTATTGTGCCAAAAAGGTTTCAACTACAATTTTTTTGTACAAATGAGGATAATATCAAATCATTTAGTTCATCTTTTGTTATTGAAGGTGATAATAAGGACATATCATATGCATAAATAAGTCATGATGTGGGCATACAACATCAAAAGGTGGGTGATATTATGAAAATAAATGCTATGAACGATAGTGCACCTATTGATGTTTCAGTATTAAAGCATTAATTGCATATTACAATCCCATTTTATAAGCTATTCAAAATTAATAAAAAGGTGATGTCTTCTTTTTCTTCATATATCTAAGGGTTAAGAAAAACAATTCAAGTTATGAAGAACACATGAATAACTCCAATTATATAAGGGGTAATGACTAGTTGAAATGTTGATATGCAAGTGCATGTGCCATTTTAAGTAATTAAGGGGTTGTGTGGAAGTAAAGTGCATATAAGATAAAGTAAATGCAAGGGTTTGAGAAGTTCAGTTTTTGGTTGGATGAAAAGTAAATCCATGGTAAAGTGAAGAGAATGAAGTTTATTCCATTCTAATTCACTTTTAAGGTAAATCGATCTCACCTATTTTTGAGAGAGAACTATTTACATAACTCCAAAAGTTGCTTGACCACCATCGATGGCCATCAACTCCACTGCCACCCCGTTGTAGGCCGCCAATCGGCACCATCGACTATCAGCGACCAACGTCCACCATCGTTCACACCACTGGCCACCGCCGCCCCTCTGCCACTGACCACCATCACCGAGCACCCAGTTCCGGCCACCGCCGCCTAATGTCACTGCTTCCAACAATCTCTGATCACCGCCACCACCTGCTACCACCATAGCCACCCTCCAATGCCGGTCGCCGACCACCGTCGACCATTGCAGATACAACCTTCACCATTAGCCACCCACCACCACCCCAAGCACAACATTTATCATGGGCCACCCATCGCAGCCATTGCCACCCGCCTACTGTCATCGGCATCCCACTGTCGCCACCACCAAACACCGCCATTGCCGTCATTACTGGCCACTGTCCACCACTGACTACCCCAAGCATAACATTTTTATATTTTTATATTTTACTTTGTATTCATTTTACTTCAAAAAAAAAAAAGTTAAGTCAAACATTCCTTTTATACTCATCCAAACAACTCAAAAATATTTCTTTTACACACATTTTACACTATATTCCTTATTCATGCAACCAAATAAGCCCTGAGTGATAAGAAAGCATCATTCCTATGAGGAATCAGTTGATATCCTTAATAAGTTACGTACTAATTTTTATATATCACTCAATTTGTTTTACCAAAAGTTGGTATTTTTATAAAACAGTAAAATAAAAAGTATAGTGCTTTCTAAACGTTTTCTAATTTTAACATGAATTTGAATTTATAAATTTATTTGGTAATTATGTTCATGCATATTTAGTCTACAAAATTTTAATTGAGAATCATAATATTATTAATTCCTCATCCCTATTGAGCTCATTGTAATCCTAATGAAGTTAAGATTATATAGGGGTGTCAATATTTGACACGACCTGAAAACCCGACTCAAACCCGACACGAAAATTTCGGATTCGGGTCAATCCAAACCCGAAATGGGTCGGGTTCGGGCTAGATTTTTGACCCGTTTTGAATTCCAGGTCAGGTTCGGGTTGACCCGGAAACACGACAATGACCCGTCTCTGAGCCGTTTTACTATAGTCTTGCGTATTTACGGGATTTGGCCATGCTTCAGTCTTCACAGCGAGCAAACTTGGTGGAGTGAAGTGAAGTCGAACATCAACGTCATCCGTGCCTCCATGGAGTGAAGTCGAACAGCAACGTTGCCAAAGGAGCGAAGTCGAATAGCAACGTCATCGAACTCCCATCGTTGCTTTCGATCCAACTTCCGATTCTGACTGTGAGCTCCCCTCGTTGCTCCATTCTAACTTTCGATTCCGACTGGAAGAGTGGAAGGGAACGTCATCGAGTCAAGTAGCAAAGTCGAACAGCAACGAAGGAGCGGCGACTCCTTCATAGTGAGCAGTTGTGAGCTCCCCTCTTTGCTCCGTTCTAACTTCCAATTCCAACTGGAAAAGTGGAAGGGAACATCATCGAGGCAAGGAGCGAAGTCTAACAGCAACGAAGGAGCGGCAACTCCTTCACAGTGAGCGACTGTGAGCTCCCCTCGTTTCTTCCAATCAAAATGTTGTAACTTCCGATCCTACTGAAAGGAGCGAACAACGCTAACAGGTAGAATAATGAAGTCGAACAACAACTTGGCGGATATGGTTTGGGTTGACCCGAACCCAAAGCGGGTTGGGTTCGGGTCCATAAAATTGACCCGTTTGCAAAAATGAGTCGGGCTCGGGTCGGGTCAAACAATACCAGGTCAGTTTCAGGTTCGACCCGAACCCGACCCATAACTCGAAATTGACACCCCTAAGATTATATATGTTGCACAGTAATCATGTGACGCTCCAAGATCTAATGTCAAAAGAATTACATCAATCTAAATATTTTGCATATCAACCCAAGCTTGACGAATTGCATAAATAGGGAAAAACATAAATGTATTTCTATTCATTAAATATTTATATTATTTGAAGCCTAAAATAATATATTTATAATAGCCATAAAGCTCAACCAGTACAAAAAAAAAATCATGATAAATACACCATGGCTACAAAAGAAAAAAAAAAGAGACCAACATATGCATAAAGAAACTTTAGTGTACATACAAGAACAACCTTAGTGTCATGCCCCAGAATCTAATTTAGAAATTTTCTTTTTTTTTTAATCTTTTATTAAACAACAATTAGAGTTATCTAATTTTATTTATCCGTAATAAAATCATTTATCAGTGAAAGTTAATTCTATTGATCAAAACAACCATATGCATTTATATTTATTGATCCAAAATCATATAAAGTACTTAGGAATCATATTATCACAATCTATTATCACCAGTCCTAAATACAAAAGAATAGCTAAAAATAGTTAGAAATAAACTAACAATCAACTTGGAGAATTATGATTT